CGTGTATGAAGAAGGCAGAAAGATCTGGCTGGCTTTAAGTCCACTGTTCTGACGCAGTTTGGTTGTATGGCCCCTCTGGCAAGTCTCTGAGGATCTAGTCGCAGAGAAGGTGCTGCCTTGCACTGGCGGAGCCAGTTTCCTCCTCTGGAAGTGTCTTGTGCCAATGAAATCCCAGGGCCAGCCAGCCCCGACATCCAACAACGGTGATAATAACGCAGCCGACATTTCCTGGAGCACGACAAAGCTCCTCACAGAGGAGGTGATTGGGCCCCGGGGACGTGATGTGGTCCGGGCTAGCTCTGGGCCCTCCCGTCTGGGCAACGGGCTTGCGCACACTCATTCGCCCGCTCGCCCGCTCGCCTGGGCGCTAACCCTCCGGACCACACGGGGCGCTGTGGCGGCCGCAACACCGACCATCCCCGGAAGGGACCCTGGAGTCAGCTCGGAGATGCGCCGCCGCCCCCTCCTGCTCCTTCTCCCCGGCCTCTCGGGAGACCCTGGCTGGCTGTTCTCTCGCTCTCCCGTGACTCGGTCTCCCCTCGAAGACCCCGCTACCCTGGCCCGGCCGGCGCCAAACGCTGGCTCCCCGGCGCCTCAGCGGGGCTGCTATGGTAACGAGGTAAGTGCCCTTTGCGCCTGCGCCTGCGCCTGCGCCTGCGCCTGCACCTTCCCCGCGGAGCAGGAGGATGCTGGGAAATGAAGTTCGTGGGACTGTCCGCCGCGCGGTTCCGACACAAGATGGCACTCGCGGGCTGTGGAAGGAGCGGGGGCCAAAGGCAAGTCCAGGGGTGGGGCTTGCTGGAGCCCATCCCATCGTGGGCGGAGCTTCAGGCTTGGGGAAGCCGAGAACAGGCCCAGTGAAGCGCCTGCCCGATCACCCGGTGTTAGGATGGATACTGTTACAAGACAAATGCGTCATCCTCCCCGCTTTACAGGGGGGAGAAATCGAGGCTGGGAGAAGTTAGTGACGCGCCCAGGATCACGGAGGATCCTAAGGAACACCATTCATGAATGGTGCATTACTATCTCAATTTTACAGAAGGGGAAACTGAGGCTCGGGAGAACTGGCTTGGCTCTGGAAACCCTGTGAGTTCATAGCAGTAACAGCCCTTCGGTCTGGCCTGCTGGCTCCTAATCTCATGCTTCCTCCAACCCCTCCTCAGTGCCACCTCCAGTGTGCAGAGAGGTCGACTAAGGCTGGATCTCAGGACAAATCTCCTATCTCCGAGCGCCGTCGGAGTGGAATGGACCCACCGCCTGGGGAGGTCGTGGACGCCCAGATGACAGCTCCCGGCAGCCCTGGTGGGCAGCACTTGTCAGGGTGGGTGGCCTAGCAGCTGAAGGAGGGCCTTCCAAGCTGGGCTTGAGAGAGGAGCGTATTGGGGCTTTAGGGGGGCAGTGGTGCGCAGGCAAGAAGGAACTTCCCTGGAGCTGAAGGGGACTCCGAGGGGGTGACTTGGGGGCAGGCGGTGGCGGAGGAGGAGCATGTTTGGGGGGAAGCTGCTGCTTTCACTTGAGGGAATAGCTGGGGAGCCCCAACACATCCAGGAGGAGTGAGGGGGCGGTGCAGAGAGGCAGGAGTCAGCATTGAAGGCAGGATGAGATTCCTGAGCGACTGAGTATAGAGAGGTGAACCAAGGACGGAGCCTTGGAGGGACAGGAAGAAAGCAAGGAGCCGTCACAGGACACAGAGAAGGAGGTCACAAGCCACGAGGGGGCTGTTTCCTGGAAGCCTGAAGAAGAGAGATTACTGAGAAGAGGGAGAAGTTGAGTGTTAGTGTCAATACTAGTACAGCAGAGTGCTTCTCTCTCCTCCTCTGCCTGGAGGCCTGTCCCTTAAAGATCCCTGACCTCTCCCAGGTACTCTGTACTGTCCTCAGAATGCCCCCCACACACACACACCTGGGCCTCATCCTTAGCACCTCTCCCGTGTTCCACCCTCCAGGGCTCAATTCTCTCCTAGGGCCCAATGGACAGTAAAGGGTTAATTAGAAAAATCCACAGGTGAGCCAGCTCAGACTAACTCCCGCTTTTATTTGCTTTCCTTACACCTCAGGTACAGAAGAGTGCAAATAGCCCCATTTTGCAGGGGACAAAATTGAGATTTTGTGAGGTTTAGGGACTATCCTGGGTCGTGAAGGAAGGGTCCATCTCCATAGCAAGGGCACGAATCCAGGTCTTTCAGCTTCCCGTCCAGTGATTTTTCCACCCTTGTTTACCTCCCAGGTAACATCAGGCCTTCAGCTATTAACATCTTTCTCTTCACTGCCTGGCCCTGAGTTTTGTTTTTTTTTTAATTAATTTATTTTGATTTATCAACAATCACTTCCATAAGCTTTTGAGTTTAACATTTTCTTCCCCTCCCTCCCCACCGTCCTCCCTAAGACGGCACACAATCTGATATAGGCTATACATATACATTCCTATTAAATATATTTTCACATTAGTGATGTTGTAAGTAAGAATTAGAACTAATAGGAGGAACCACCAGAAAGAGGAAACAAAACTCAACAGAAGAAAAAAAAATAGCAAATAGCATGTTTCCATCTGCATCCAAACTGGTCTTTGTGGATAGCACTTTCCAGGTGATCCTGAGCTTTACCCACTGTGCCTGCTGAGCAAGGGCCAGCGCCACACATCAGCAGCGGGCTGTGCTTAAGGGTCTGCCTGAGGGGACCCGGGACAAGCTCGTTGCCCACAGGGGATAGCTTTCCTTTTTTTTTTTTTGCCACAGCAGGTCATAGAGCCCATCCGCTATTGTGCCTTATTGGGGGGAGGGTGCCGTAGATTACGTCTTTGGAAGTGCAGAACTGGATAATCGGGGTGAAAGGTCTTTAGAAAGTCCTCTACAAATGCAGGTTCAGGGGATCCCAGATCCAGAACTGTGAGGCGCCTCAGCGGGCACCTAGGCCACTCCCCTCCTGCTACAGAAAAAACTGAGGCCCGGGGGCTGCGGTGACTCTGAAATGTTGCACAGGTCATTAGCAGCAGTCAGCATCTGATTCCAAATACAACCATAACTCATTCCATTATACCGGGCTGCCTTGTTAAAACACCTGTGAGTTGTTATTATTGCTTGTAATTGTTAACCAGAAGAGCCCTATGTGCCTTGTAGTCTCCTACAGATTAGCATTGTCCAGTTCTGATAAAAGAGGATTTGAAGAGCCACAGGCTGTATGCTCTCAGCCACCAGTTTCAATGTGCATTTCTCTGGAAAGCCCTGAAGGAGGCATCCTGCTAGAGAGGAGACTGTCAGGCCTTCCCGGGCCCTCAGGCAAGTCACTTGCCCTTTCTGGAGCCCCAGCTTCCTCAGTTGTAAAATAAGGGTATGATTATCATAGGATCATAGACTGAGAGCTGGAAAAGGCCTTAGGTGCTATCTAATCCAAGCCCCTCATTTCACAGATGGGGAAACTCGGGCCCAGAGAAGGGAAGTAGATTTCCCAAAGTGTTACCCAGATGGGTAATCAGGATTTGTACTCAGGTCCTTGGACTCCAAATCCAGGCTCTTTCCACTGTAGCACACTGTTTGCTTCAAAAACCCTTTTGACTCCTTTTTGGGAAAATGGCCAAGATGCCATCACTGTCCAGAAGGAAGGAAAGCAAATATTGGCCTTTGGGTCTGTCACCCACAGCCCAGGGTATGTGAAGGACCCCCCCCCCCCAACACTCTATCCTTATTTGTTATTTCCCAATCTGCCTGTGTTGTTCCATCCAACAGAATGTAAGCTCTTGGAGCACAGGGCCTGTTTGTTTTTTTATTTTGAATCCTCCTCAGATCTAGCAAGACGCCTGGTGCACAGTAAGCACTTAATAAACGCCTGCCCAGTGAGTGAATGAGGCAACTGGATATTGGGAGGGACCAAGAAAAAACAACTTCCAAATGGCCACAGGGCTGGGGAACCTGCAGCCTCCAGGCCACACGTGGCCTTCTCGGTCCTCAGGAGAGGCCTTTTAACTGAGTCCGAGTTTTACAGAACAAATCCTTTTATGGAGGGGGTTTGTTGTGTGAAATTTGGACTTCAGTCAAAGAGCCACGCTTGAGACGTGGGGGCCACACGTGGCCTGGAGGCTGCAGGTTCCCCACCCCTGAATCATCCAAAAAATTAAGACTTTACTTGTAAACCAAGTATAAACATTTGATTGTGAAACTATCACATAAAATGAAAAATAATTTAATATGAAACTTCATTTTTTTATTCCTAAATAAAAAGCCATATAATTAAAAGACCGTAGAAAATACTGGCTAGCTAATGAGGAATGAGGGAGGAGAGCAGTGTGCGTGTGTGCGCGCGCGCCCCTGTGTGTGTGGAAAAGCAGCTCTGGTCTCCCTTGGCCTATTGTCTGGTGACCCAAGTCCCAGCAGCCCAGAGGTGGTGGGGACACTGGAGAGTCCAAAGACAGCAGCCCCCATCCCAGCTGACCTCAGTAGGCTTCTCCTTCTGCCCCTGAGCTACCTACCCCTCCAAGGATGGAGAGTGCACAGGCCGAGGCCTCAGCAAGAGACTCGAGACAGTTGTGAAGGGTGGGCCTGAGGCGGACAGCCACAGTTGGGCTGTGACCTTGGCCCTGGTGCCCAGGGTGTCCAGGCCCTGAAATGCCTCCATCTGGTAATATGGAGTGTCCTTGGGGGGCTAGGAGATGAGGCCCCTGCCCCTTTGAGATTCTGGTGGATGACCCTGGCTAAATCCTAGGGAGCCCCAGCTTGGGGAGGAGGGGTCTCTTACTCCCCTTAGGAAGGAGGGAAAACCACAGACCACTAGAGGCTTGGGGGCCAGGGTAGGTGGTCTTGGGGCCCAAGGTTGGATCTTTGAGATCTTAACTACAGACAAAAATACTCCAGAATCCTGTCCTGGCCTCCCTTTCCCTAGATCAGGGGTGGGAACATGAGGCCTGAAAGCCACATGTGGCCTTTCTAGGTCCTTGGGTAGGGCTTTTGACTGAGCCCAAGTTTTACAAAACAAATCCTTTTATTAGGAGGATTTGTTCTGTGACATTTAGATTCAAAGGGCCATGCTTGAGGACCTAGAGGGCCACGTGTGATCTCGAGGCCACAGGTTCCCCACCCCTGCCCCAGACGAACAGTGGAGAGAAGTGTGAGGCCTATGCCCGGGGGGAGACCTCAGTGTACTATCAGTGGAGGTGATGGCTGAAGGCCAGGGGCAAAGGGGGTGAGGTGGGAGGAGGAAGGGGCGTGAGGTGGGTAGGTAGAGTGCAAGGTCGCTGTTTGGTGACCTCTTCCTAGTGGCTAGAAGGGTTCAGGGCCCCCCCTCTTCTCCGCTGCTGTCCACACTGGCCTGTCTCATCATTCTCCGGGCTCTGGTCTTAGCTCCATCCACAGCCTCCCCCTGGCCCTGGTTCTGGAAGGCCTGGCTCCGGCTGGCCACCAGGGCTGCGCTGTGCAAGGCGGCTACGGACTTTCGGGGGAACAGGGAAGGCCGTGGTTCCTCTTTGTCCCTGGAAGCCTGGGAGGGAGCCTCACCTGAGGACTCGTTTGGACAGGAGAACACCTGGAGGGTGTAGGAAGAGAAGGCGTCTGGCCCGGGCCTGCCCCCATCTTGGCATGGCTCTACAGGCCAGGCCCAGCCCCTCGCCTCCCCGGAGCCTGTCCTGCCCCTTCCCAATTCCCCTCCTTTGTTCATGGTGCCCCTTGGCCTCCCATCGTTCAAGGCCCCCCTTGTCACCTCCTCCAGCCCTTCAGCCCACACTGATCTTTGACCTTGGTGATGAGTCTGGCTCGCTGCCCACCTATGACCTCGACCTGTTCTCCAGTGAATTCACGCGGGTGTCTGGTGCCGCCAGCCCCTTCCATTTGTAGCCCCAGCCTCAGAAATGAAGGAGGGGGCACCCTGGGTAAAGCCTTTGTTTTTCCTCCTGTGATTTCATTGGCCTAGAGAACTCCCGGTGAGACAACTCCCTCCCCCGATGCAGACCCTTGCTCCCTACCTGAGCAAGCTGTGGCTTGCGTGGGGTGACTTGGAGGCGGGACAGTGACTGAGGCTGGCTGGTTACTCAGCGCACACCCTAATACCCTGGAGGTGCCCCACTATGCTCACCTCTGGCAGATCACTGGTCTCGGGGTGACTCCCGAGGTCTGGGGGCTCCAGCAGACTGATGGACCTCATGATCCCCCGCAGGTCCATGCGGGGCCGGGGTCTCAGCCCCTCCAGGCCTGGCCCCTCTCTCGGCTTTCCCTGTTGCTCCTCCCCTTCTGTGGCCTTCCAGTCCCGGCTGCCCCCTGGCTCCAGGGCGGGTGGGGGATGCGACCAGGAGGCATCGAGAGCCAGAGGCTCCTCCGGGGAGGTCCTACCGCCAGCCTTCTGCTCCCAAACATGGCTCTGGCGGCTAGAAGGAAGAGAGCGTGGTGACCGGGCCATCCCTTCCTTGCTATCTGCCCTCCAGCTGCCCCCCTAGACCCCCCCACCCCGGCGGTTGGTACCTGGCTGTGAGGATGCCTTGGTAGGTGTGCAGCTGCCGAAGGAAGCCGGGGTTGGGCCGGGCAATGGGGCGCAGCTCTTGCACGTGCCGGAGGGCCTGGTCCAGGCCCCAGTTGTACTGTTTCATGGCATAGGCCATGACGGTGGCGGCTGAGCGGCTCACCCCCATCTTGCAATGTACCAGCACGCGGGAGCCTTGGGCCCTGTGCAAGGGGTCCTCTTGGTCAGCCACCCCTAGTCTGGCCTGGCTGCCTGGCTTCTGGGACACTGACTAGAGGCCAGAAAGGTGCATGGGGGGGGCAGCAGGCCACACTGTTGACCCTGGCTGTTGGTGTTGAGAAAGGAGGAGACAGGGAGGACCAGGGGAGGTGATGGGGCTGACCCGGGGCAGGGAGGGGAGTGTGGACGTCTGCCTGGGGCCAGGCCTAGAAGAAGCCGGATCGGGAGGAGCAGGGGAGGAGGGAGCCTGACCCACCGGGCGGCCTCAATGAAGCGATGAGTTTCCTTCCAGTGAGGCAGGAGCTCCTCTGTCTCCTCATCCCAGAGCCGGACGTTGTGATACGTAAAGAGCTCTGGGTAGAAATTGTCGATCTCTCTGGCCACATTCAGGATGTGACTGACCCTGCCAAGGAGAAGCCAGGCCATGTGGGCTGGGCCTGAGGGAACCTGGAGCAGGCCAGGGCAGGCCCGAGGCCCAGCTAGGCCAGGCCTGGAGGCTGTGACAAACCCATTTTAGAGCTCAGCTGGAAAACGCCAATGTGCTGTTGAAAACGCCCATGAAAAGATTCAGGGTGGCAAAGGGACCGTGCATTCCCAGAAAGAACAGATGTCAGAAGCAAAGGGCGTCAATAAAACCTTAACAGACAAGTCAAGGGAAGCTACTGCTTGCAATGCTAAGTGAGCTGGCCTGGGAGGCAGAGCCCCTATGCTCATGCCAGGACTGGAAGGGACTTTTGGGGCCATCTGGTCCAACCCCCTCATCTCACGAAGGAGGAAAGTGAGGCCTCAGGAGCAGAAAGGATTTGCCCAAAGTCACCCACATAGTACGTGTCAGAGGCAGAATTGGAACCCAGGTCCTCTGACACCCAGCCAGTGTTCTTTCCTTTGGGCCACACTGTGTGACCTTGGTCAAGGGCCTTCCCTCTTTGGGGCCTCTGTTCCCACCTCTGCTGGGCCTCCCTCAGGTCTCCTCCAGCTCCAACATTCCATTGCTTATTCTGACAGAGATAGTGGTGTTTTTTTAGAAAGTCACCTCTAGGTTGGCATTTTTGTTCACTGTGTTCTGTAACTGGTGCCAACTGGTGGCTGCGATGAGGCCTTTTACCGATAAATAGGTGATTAATGGCTAGGTTCCAGTTGGAGCCTTCTTGGAGAGGGGGCATCAAGAGAAATCTTTTTCTGGTGGAAAAAGGCAGTGTCAGGGGCCACGACCCTGGGGTCTGCAGAGTGCCTAGGAATTGTGCGCTCTGTCTGTTTTTCCTTCACCTTGGGGACAGAAGTAAGACAGAAAAGCAAAAGAGCCAGGGGGTCGATTAGCCCAAAGAGGCGGCCTCCACGATATGGAAGATGAAGGAGCAAGTTTGGGAGGAAGCTGTGACAGGATGAGTGGGATGGGCCCTGGGCGGGGGGGGGGGGGGGTCAGAGGGCGAATCTCAAAGGGGAAGGGGCTTCAGCCTCGGTTTCCCCCTCTGTAAATCGAGGGAACTGGTCCAGATGACTGCCAAGGTGCCCCACAGCTCTTCAGTCCTTACCGGTTTCTCTGCAGTTCATCCAGGTTGGCTGCATTCCACTCGGAGCCCTGTGGAAAAGGGAGCGGTGAGTGGTTGCCTCCCTCCCCATCTCTCCACCCAGCCCCAGCGTCCCTCCCCAGTGCCAGTCAGTGGCAAGCTCACCAGGTACAGGTGGGGGAAGATGTGCGAGGCCCGATCTCGCTGGGCCACGAACACCAACATCTGGTTGTCAACGAAGTCTCGGTACTGCTGCAGCGGGCAGCCCAGGCGGCCCTCCAGGGCCTGGCGAATCTGGGGAAGGGGGCCAAAGGACAGACAAGACGCTGCAGGTGGGTGAGGGCACTCTGCCCACTCCCTGGGCCTGTCCAGGATGGGAGCAGGCTGGGCCCACGCTTAGGGAGAGTCAGCCGGGGGCAAAGGCCAAGACCGAGAGACACAGAAGGGAATGCTGGCTCGTCGGGGCAGGAGTGGGGCCGAGGCCTTTGGGCGAAGGGGTCTGAGGAAAGTTGTTACGGCAGAGGAAACTTCCCAGTCAGGTCTGGGATCTCCCAGCTAGGGGCAGGCCGGCTCTGGCTCCCACCTACCTCTTTGGAGGTGACATTTTCCAGGTCACTGGTGTCTAACACATGCCACAGCTCAGTCAGGATGAGTCGTTCCATCTGTCCTTGCTCAGAGTGCCTAGGGGTGGGGCCCATCAGACCAGTGTCCCCCCAGCCCCAGCCCACTGGCCTTCCTCAGCTCCCAAGGCCCATATCATCCCTGCTCCCCACCTTCCTCCCTGCCCCAAGGGCACTGACCCACTAGAGTCTGCACTGGGCAGCTGAGACCGGAGGGACTCCAGATCCGCCATGGCCATCCACTCATTGAGGCAGCTCTGGTCTGAGGTGATTCGGTCCTGGTAGTAGCCAGTCCAGGCGAGGGCACTGCCTCCAGGTACCAGGCCATTGCCCAGAGCCATCTCGCACGCTCGGTGTAGCACCTGGAGGGTGGCCCTGAGCGGGAGAAACAGTGCAAGCAGGAAGTCACTCAGCATCGGTAAGTGCCTGCTATGTGCCAGGCCCGGTGCTAAACTCTGGGGATACAAAGAAAGGTAGTCCCTGCCCTCAGGGAGCTCACAGTCTAACAAGCAAAGGACTATGTACAAATTCAGGCTAAACAGGAAATAATTAAGAGAGGCTAGACTAGAGTGGGGGTGGGGAAGGCTTCCATAGAAGGTGGGATCTGAGGTGGGACGGGGAGCTCAGTGGTCAGGGCCTTGCAGCCATGGGGACAGAGAGAAGGCCCAGAGCAGGGAGATGGACAGCCCAGAGGGTGGGCACTGGATCGAAGAGCGCATGTCAGCGAGTGAGGTGGGAGAAGACTAGAAAGGGAGGAGGGACTTCGAATGCCAGGCACACCATTTGGTATTTGATCCTGAGGGCCCTAGGGAGTCACCAGAGTTTACTGAGTAGGAGGTGACATGACTGGAGGCAGGCAGAGCCCCCCAGCAGCCATTGCAATAGTCCAGGGGTGAGGGGATGAGACAATTGCCCCTTCTCCGGCTCTCAGTGGACATCTCTGGGCTTTCGTGACTCACTCCAGGGAATTTCCAAGGAATGGGTGGTCGTTCTGAGGCCATTAGGCCAGGCCTCCCCCTCCCCTGCCCCATCTCTTCCCCATCCCCCACTTTCCTCTAACCGCCCCACCCCCCACTTCTCATTCTCACCACATGGTCTGTATGGAGATAGGCTTGAAGATTCTTGTCTGACCCCCGGATGTCACAGTGAAGCCCCTGGAGGAGGAGGGTGGAGATCAAGCGGTCAGGAGCGGGCTGTACAAGCTGGGAGACTCCCAGCGTCAGAGCAACCGAAATGGCCCTTCCCCTCCCGGGGCCTCAGTTTCCTCAGCAAAATAAGAGGGTTGGATTAGGTCATCTCTTCTGTTTCCTCCAAGTGCGCAAGTATGAGTCACTCATTATGCACACATATGTGCATTCCTCAAAGGTTTTAGACTTTCTACAGATCTCACCTGCTCTTATCACAACTGCCCTCTGAGACAGGCAGGGCAGGTGTGTGATGTGGAAACTGAGGTCCAGAGAACTCCAGTGCTTTTCCCATAAGACCTCACCACCCAGATCCCAAAGCACAGCTAGTCCTAGCAGCCTTCTTCCCCTCCCTCTAATACCAAGTTGCTTCTTCTCACCCATCGCCATCCAGGTAAACTTGTGTGTCACTCCAGAGGGGTAGGACCAGGCCCAAGGTGCAGCTGGGGGAACTGGAGGGACAGAGGGAAAGACAGCTGGGTTCTCCTTGCCCTTCCCGTCTGCCCAGTCTCCCCGCTTCCAGCAGCGCCCCTACCTGCTCTGGGAGAAGTCGACCCCCAGGAGGACGGTCTCATCCTGGCTTAGTAGCTCCGAGGTGGACACCACAAGCAGGTACCTGAGCCATTGCGGCCGGGTGGTCTCCAGTTGTACTGCCTGTGGGGGGTGGGGGAAGCACATGATTCAGAGATACCGTCCCACGTGCAATCTCCTGGGGGTGGGGGGTGGAGGTAGAGTGGAGGTGGGGGAGGAACTGGACCTAAAGGAATTCCCAGATATACACAACTCTCTCTATCAATGCATGTGCGTGCCTTGTCTGCACTTGCCTGGGACACTAAGTGAAGTGACTTGTTCAGGGTCATACCGCCACAGGCAGGACTTGACCCCAGGTCTTCCTGGCTCTGAGGCCAATTCTCTATGCACTAAGCCATGATGCCTCATCAATTCACCATTATTTAACCTTCCCATCAGCCCCCTCTCCCAGTTCAGTGCAGGAAATATTTCCTGAGCTCCAACTGAGGACATGGTGGGTGGGATGGGAGAGAGTGAGGGGAGTGGCGCATGTGACGGTGTGATGCCAGACTTATGCCTGCTCTCCCAGAGCTCTCTCAGTGGGCACATGAGACAGAGACATTGGTAACAAAAGAATTAGACAGAATGTGAGAAGTACTATAAGAGAGGAAGACAGGGAGAAGTCCCATCTTGCTGGGAAATCAGTCTTCCTGAGGGGGTGATATTTGTGCCAGGCCTTCAGAGATGGGGAGAATTTTAAAACTGGGGAGAGCTTTCCCAAGGCATAGACTAGGCTTCGTGGGCCAATCAGAGGAGCAGGAATCATGTCTCTAGAGATCGTCTAGTCTGACCCTTCTCATACTGAAGAGGAGGAAACTGAGGCCTAGGGATATTGAGGGACTACAGACTTGGAGATAGCAGGAACCTTTTTTTTTGCTTTTTTGGTGAGGCAATCAGAGTTCAGTGACTTGCCCAGGGTCACACAGCTAGGAAGTGGCCACATTTGAACTCAGGTCCTCCTGACCCCAAGGCCTGTGCTCTAGCTACTGCGCCACCCAGCCGCCCCTAGATGGCAGGAATCCTAAGGCCATCTAGTCTAACTCCTTTATTTTACAAATGTGGAAACCGAGGCCCAGGAAGATTAAGGGACTTGCTCCGGGTCGCACTGGTGGCAGCACTGAACCCAGGTTCTCTGGAACAGAGGGTTCTGGCTGGAAAGGTAAGCTAGACTAGCTGGTCTAGGACCCTGAATGCCAAGCTGAGCCTTCCTAGAACTGGCAGTTAGTGAGGAGGCTATAGGAAATGGTGCTGCAGGGAGGCTGGCTGGATTGGAGGCGAGATGAGCTGGGGAGAGCTCTTAGGGGATGGGCCTGGACTACGGAGATGGCAGAGGAAATGGAATGGAGGAAAGGAGGAAGACCCAGGCCTTGTGGGACTTAGTGCCTGGCCGATCAAGGGCGAGGGAGAGAGAAAAACAAAACGCCTGGGGTCTGGAATGTCAGGGAAGGGGAGAAAGCCAGGGTAGAAATCTCAGAATCAGAAGGAGCGGATGTCGGTGGAAAGATGCTGAGTTCAGTTTGAGACATGTTGCGTTTGAGATGGTGTCAGGGCATCCTGGGAGAGATGGCTCTGAGATAGGCGGGGTGACAGAGGGAGGTCGGGGTCCTCCTCCTGGAGGTGAGAGCTGAAGCCCTGCAAGGAGATGGACTGGCCCGAGGGAGAGAGTATGGAGAGAGGGGGGAAGAGGGAAGAGGATGGAGCCTTTGGGGGAGGCAGAAGGAAGAGACAGAGAAGGCACAATCAGAGAAGTAGGAGAAGACCTGGAAAAACGGTGTCTTTCCCTTCCCCGTCCCTCAAGCCCCACCGCTTACCAGCTGGATATTGTCCTGGGCCCTCAGCAACCCCACCATGAGGTGCAGATGCCTCCTCTGCTCTTGCTTCCCAGAGCCTGAGGACTCTGGAGCGCCCTGGTCATTTCCATCTGGCTGGTCTGCGGGAGCCTCCTCGTCTTCTGGGTCATCCTCGTCATCCGATCTGTCCTGATCCCCGGTGTTGGGCTCCCCTCTGTCTTGGAGCCCCAGGACAGCACCACGGAGCACCGCAAAGCTCTGCCTGGCCAGGAGCAGAGCATCATTGGAGGCAGATTCCTTACTCTCTGAAGATTCCAAAGCACTTAACCCTGCCATCATCTGCTTCCCCTCTCTTTCTACCCACCGAGCCAAGGAATTGGAGAAAGAGAGAGACTGTGTCCTATAACGGGACAAAGGACCTAAGCAGCCCACAGCTCGGCTACTGCCCCCCAGTGCCCTGTGATCTCACCAAAGGCACCCAGCTAGCCAGGGGAGACAGAGCTGGGATGGCCCCTGCCAGGGGTGTGGGGCAGGGGGCTTCCTCACCTGCGCTGCAGCTGACTCCTCCTGCTCAGTCCTTCATCCTGTCACGGAAGCAGCCCCATGGGGGCAGTGTGAGGGGCTCTGCGGGTCCCGTCCCCTCCCCTTCCCCGGCCCCCAAGGCCTAACAGGTTGTTCCTTCTTGGGATCCAGGCCCACGGTAGTGGGGCGGGGCCTTTTGCCAACCCCGAGGATCTGAAGCTAACGTTGGAAGGACCTTCTGAACCAAGCCCTTCTTTTTCCCCTGGAAGCGCCCCGTGGGGGTGGGGGATGGGAGAGGTTGGGGTTCTGATCTTCCCTCTTCTCCTTTTAACCCCCACCCCCATCCTAGGCTTCAGTGGCCGGGGAGGAGGGATTCCTGCCTCCAAACAGCCACCAATGGCTCCCCAGCCACCCCCGCAGGCTGCCAGGAGTTCTGTCCGCTGGCCAGGCCACCAGCTGTCTGCAGGAGAGGTACCGTGAGGGCACTCCCAGGGGGCCTCTTCTCAGGCGGGTTGGGGAAGGTCCAGGGACCCTGCCGGACCTCGGCTTGGCTGGGGGTGCTCGAGGAGGGGTGCACTGCCCGGTGCCCGGTCCAACAGGCCCAGCGGGAGAGGGGGCGGATTGTCTGCGTGGGCAGGGTCGGGACAGAGGCGGACTCACCGCGGGGCCCACGGGGGTGGAGTGGCCGCTGCCCGAGGGGGATCGGCTCACTGTGACCAGGGCCATGCACGCGCACGCGGCTGGACGGAGGGCTCCAGGCGCAGCCCCCCCTCCACAGACCCGATCCGACCCGACCGGACCAGCCCAGCCCAGCCCAGGCCTGGCCAGGCCAGACCAGACCAGGAAGGAAAGCAACGAGCGGAGCCCGGCCGAGCCACCTCGGCCTGGCACCTCCTTGGGGGCGGACCTTAAAGGGCCAGCCGCCCCGCCCGCTCGGCCTCCCTGGGCTCCCAGCGCAGCCAGCGCCGCAGCCGCCCCTCCCCTCCTGCTCTGACTCCCTCCGGGCGAGGCCCCGCCCCGGGGGGCGGGGCCACCCGAAGCCAGCCTCCGCCCTCCCCCTTTCCAGGTGATTGGGGCCGGGCAGCTGGGCGGGTTCGACGCCTTTGGGCGCTCTGTCCTGCTGCACGCGCAGCTTCGGACGGAGTCCAATGACGACAGCGGGTCCGTGCCTCAGCTCCCCCACCTCGGACACTGATGGCAGCTTGGGACCACGGAAAGGGAGGGCTTTGGAGGCCGAGGGCCCGGGATTCCTCCCCTGGCCACTGACTGCGCGCCTGCTGACCCTGGGCACGTCGCAAGCTCTCTGGGCTTCAGTTTCCTCATCTGTAAAATGAGGGACGTCGCCCTGGCATGCCTCTTCCAGCTCTGCATCTGGGAACCCCTCCTTGCACTTTGATGGAAGCCCCCGGGCGGGGATGGGGGAATTAGGCTGGCCTGCCCACCAGTTCTCTCCTGAACTGGGTTAGAATGCAGTGTTAGGAGATTAGGGCCTGACCCCAACGATCTCAGAGATCCACAGCTTTCCACGGCTTTCTTTCCGTACTTGGTAATTCAATTATGCCTGTTTGTATTCGGAACTCGTGGGGGGTTGGGGCCAGGTCATTCGAAACCTTAGCCCTGCACACAGTAGGCACTTGTGAATAGGGGAGGGAAGAGGAAGGCAAAAGGGAGAGGGAGGGAAGAAAGGCACATCTGATGACATCCAGCATCTTGGGCTGGGGAGGTGGGTGGGGGGCTTCAGTAAATACCTGGGGCTCTTTGTTCTCAGGAGGGGGGGTCATGAAGAACAGGAGTCCTCCCAAGCCTCCCCCAGGTCCCACAGAGCACGGCTGAGCCACAGGCTGGTTTCTGATTTATTTCCATCCCCTATCTCCATCTTGGGCGACCCCTGACCCGACCCCTCCCCCTAGCTGGTCAGCAGTTTATAAATAAATAAATTATAAAAGCCAGGCATGAGGCCTGGCCGGGGCAGTGTCCCTCCATCCTGATCGGGCAGTTCAGTGGTCAGTGAGGGAGAGCCGCAGAATTCGCTGTAGCTCCTCCTCTTCCTGCTGCCCCCTCCTCTCTCTCTCCTCCTGCTCCCGGGAGGACAGTTCCAGGGCCAGGCGGAGCTGCTCGTCGAAGCTGGGGGGGCTCAGGGAGGGAGGGGTCAGGCGAGGGGACCCCAGGCCCCCAGGTTCTGAAGGTGGCAGCAGGCTCTCCTGGAGGGCCCTGCCAAGGTGTGGAGAGGAGCAGATGCTAACGGGGACTGGGTAGCTTAGGAACCCCTGCCTGCCTCCCTGCAGTGACAGGCTCCTTTAGGTGGGGCTCCGGGGCCCAGAGGAAGAGGAGAGGCAGGGTCTTGGGGTCCCGCTCCTACCACCTTCCTGAGCCAACCCAGGGACGCTGAGCTGGGAAGGGGGAAAGCAGAGGTAGCTCTAAAGAAAGACTAGAAGCTGCCCAGATGGCACCGAAGGAAAGCCTTTATAAACATGTCAGATTCCCTAGCACTAAGGAGTTGATGGGGGCTAAGTCAAGGTGCCTATGTTAGAGAGAAGGCCCAAAGGCCCTGGTGAACAGGGGGGAGACACAGTCCACCTTTACCTCAAGGGCACAAATGTCTTGTCCCACCCCCGGCCCCCAGGGCTCTCCAGATAGCCTCAGGCCACACCTTCCTTACCATCCTCCTTCCCCCAAACTCCCCCATCCTAGAGACAGAGAGGTGACCTTGAGGGGATGAGGGGCAGTGTCACTGTGGGACACCCCCCCCCCCAGCTGCCCCCACGACAATTCCACCCAGGAGAGTTACAGGCCCCCTGTGGTAGTGGCGGTGGCGATGAAGGGGCAGAAAAAACCCTCAGGAATGGGAGGAGGGGGGCTCACCGCTCCAGCTGCAGCTGTTCCTCATAGGCAGGTGGGGGAGAGTGGAGGTCTGGGCCTGGCCGGGTGTTCGTCAAAGCTTCCCAGATGGTCACCTGCAAGAAGAAGGGAAGAGAAAAGGAAAGGGGAAAGGGGAAAGGGAAAGGAAGTGAAAGGGGAAAAGGGGAAAAGGGGAAAAGGGGAAGGGGAAAGGAAAGGGAAAAAGGAAAAGGGAAAAGGAAAGGGGAAACGGGAAAGGGAAAGGAAGTGAAAGGGGAAAAGGGGAAAAGGGGAAGGGGAAAGGAAAGGGAAAAAGGAAAAGGGAAAGGGAAGGGAAGGTTTCTTGGTCAGGGCTCTGCCCCCTGCCTCACTTTGACCCCACATCCAAGACCCTTCATCCCACCCACACCCTGGGCCCCTGAGTGCTGGGATGGACAGACTTCGGACTGGCTGCCACGCTCACCCCTTCCAGGCCCTGGGAACAGAAAGAGTTCCTTGGCTGCTGTCCACAGCAACCCTCCTGCCCCCTCCAGCCTACAGAGATCCCCACCAAGCCTTTCTCCACTTGGGTGCCGAGTTCTACCCTGTCTTTTACCTGCTCTGTCTCCGTCCCAGCCTCTAGCAGGCTCTGCTGGATGGCAAACTGCAGAAGGTCATCGTCTTCATCCCTTAGGGGCTCACCGTGCCCAGCACCCAGCACGCTATACCCCTCAGGTACCTCAAACACGGCTGGGTCCACCTCACAGGGAAAGGGGCTCCCTGGGGAAGGGAGAGGCCCAAATCTCAATTTGCCCCACTCTCTTCCCCACCTCACAGGGTCCTCCCCACCAGGTATCCTCCGCTTCTCCCTCCCAGGCTATACCGGCGGCAGGGCTGGTGGACTCTGTGGACCTCGGGCTGGGAGACGGCACCCACACAGAGCTTACAGGTTCATCACAGCCACACAGGTTGCTGAAAGTGATCCGGGCATTGAGCACGTGGAATAAGGGGATCTCTGAGGGGACAGTAGGGCCAGGCCCTGAGCCAACGGAAGACCGGCTCCATGGCCCCACCAAGAGGGTCATCCCCAGCCCATCACCCCTGGCCCTGTCACCTCGCCTCCAGTCCCACCACCCCCAGCCCCATCACCCCCCCACCCTCCCTGGCACTGTATCCCCAGCCATGTCACTCCCCCATTCTCCCCGTGGGGCTTCCCCCCCAGCCCCGTCACCCCCCATACCACCTCCCCCCCACACCCCTCCCCCCAGCCATGTCACTCCCCCATTCTCCCCGTGGGGCTTCCCCCCCA